AATTTAGATGATTCATTTATGCTATTTAATACTTATTTATCAATTAATTCAATGACTGTAATAAAAAAAGAAACATAATTTAGTACTTTTCTCAAAGCCTGAGATTTCTTGTAAAAACACTGATCTGAGATAGTTTTTATGTATCTTACACATATCCTACTGATATTTCAAGTAGTACATTGCTGTAAATAAATAAAAGAAGAACAGAATCAATCTTAGATAGGTTTAATGGTTTCGATTGCCCATTCTAAAACTGCGTTATTTCATTTCATGGTCCTTATTTAAGTCTGATGTTCCAAAGTGGCTGGGGATTAATAAAAAACATGATCAAGAAATGCTGTTCTCACTTCTATTTTACTCCTCCACACTCTTTAATCAGTGTCACAAAGCCTGAAAATGACAGGCTATTACTATGGTAATTACTTATGGTCTGCTATTTTCAACGTATGTGCAATTAGACTATGATTAGAAAATTCAGTGCTGCATTAAGATAACATTTAGTTTAACTGGGAAATACTGTATCTTTGGATTGGAACACGATTGAAGTATTTACTCAAAAAATAATCAAACTGACTTTAATAATCAAACTAATAAAAAACAAAGTGCCTTTGTTGTCAAAATAGTCAAATATCAGCTAATAAACTATTCATTATCTTTATTCAGCCCAAGAATAATTAATGGCACATCTATGATAAGTGCTAAAAATAATGAACTCTTTATTTTTCTATATGCAACAATGGTATTGAAAATCTATTTGGGAGTTGTAGAAAAAATCAGGTATAGTAAATATTTCCATGATGGCAATTTGAAGAGGACAGCACAATTTGTTAATTCCAACTATTATCATACACTTAGCTTTGCTCTTTAGTGTGATAAGACGGGGCCCGGTGTCCATGTTATCTGAGACGTGCTAAGTACAGAGTAAATATTGTCTGACCTCCATGTGAGGAAGAGTTTGGCTCCTTGGCATTGCTATATTTTCACAATCATTTGTTCCCTGCAGTACACCACTGCAATACAGACTTACTGACTTGAATGGGTCAAGTGGTTTGATTAAGGCCTTTTTGAAGGGTCACTGCCTGAAGGGGACTTCAAGACTCTCTAGCTCCTGTTGACTCACTCTGCCAGACCAAACAAACTTCGTTTCTATTGCTCGGTTTAATCAGACTCCCGGCAGGCAAATCTGTCCTTCTCTTTCCCAGGCTGCATTCACTTCCTCTCTCAGGCAAACAGCAGGGGCTGGGCCAGTGTGTGCTTCCAGGCAATTTGGCTGATACTTGCTTACAGCTGGCAACCAGCACTGGGACCAGTGTTGATTGCTGCTTCAAAATACCATGACTTGCAGTTTTGAATGTGGCAGTGACACAAGGCTTCACTAGTTGGAAAGTGGAACTTTAGGTACATAAAGTAATTGTTCTTTACCACTTGTAACTCAGAACATATACCATGCACATGTAAGGATGATGTTGGTTCATGTTTCCTGGTCCCACATACTAAATGACCTAATAACTTACTGTACATCTACTGTACTACTAAAGAATCAATCTAAAACTAAAAGGTATGAATGTACAGCATAAATATTTATTTACTCCTTCTTGTGAAATGCACCATTTTGTGCATTTTTTTGTCTTTCTTGTGAAACAACCATTTCCGTGGCTAAATGACCAAACTAAAGATTTAACAATGTAATCTTTTCAAAATGATGATGGCTAACAGCTTTTCAATTGGATCTGCAAAAGGTTTTTTTTTCAAACCACAGCTATTGGCGCTCACATTTCAGTTTGAGATTTCAAAGCAGGTATTTCCGTACAAGCATCAGTCTCTGTGCATATAGAATGGGCTGCACATGGTTCCCATTACAACACTGTCACATGGCCAAGGCTACCCTCCCATGCACAGAGGAGCCATGGAGTTTAGAAAAAATAAAATTATTCCAAGACACCTTTTTTCATGAAAACAGACCTTATAGTCAGACGTTACCCTCAAAACTTCACAGGGAGCAATGAAAACCAAACACCCTTGATGAGCCCGGAAGAGTTAAGGATATGTACAGAACACTGATTGCATTAGTTTAAACTTATATAATCACCTATTGGGACAGGAGGGGTGTTATTAACAAATACCATTTGGTAATATACCTTTTAATTTTGAGACATTACATTAGACAGTAATTCCATATCTGGCATGCATAGTAGTGTTTTAAACATTAGGGTTTATATACTACTGTATACTCAGCAGTAAAGATCAAAAGGTAATTTGCAATAACTGTAATTCTTGACTTACCATTGAGAAGAGAGCTTGATGTTCATGTAGAATTAGCTTGTGAGTTATAGTTGTTTCCTGAATCAAGATCATCTGTGCCACACAGCACATTCTTCCCTATTTTATTTTCAAGCACAGAAGTAAGGCTAAAGCAGTGAAAATTTAGAAAATTACAGAAGTCGAGATGGCAAAGAATGCAACTCCAGGTTGCATGGGAATTGGAACAGAATGCTGCATGCACACTTGCCCAGTTCTGTGCTTTGGAACTGGCAGGGCTGAACCGCATAGTGTGCCGGTTGTTCCTGGCTATTAAAATATGCTTTTGAAGAGCTTCCAGTTCTTGTAAAACTATAACCAATCATTTGGGGGAAGTCATTTTTTATTTGTGTGCATGACATCACCAGCAACAACCACCAAAAAATAATAGCAGTGGATATTTCTATCTAGACAACGCAGCACAATTATTTCACTCATCATTCAGTAGCCTTCATGTACATTGTAGATAGGCAGTAAATTAAAACTGACCTCAGGCATCATACAGTACAGGTAGAACAATGAGACAATAAGGAAGTTCTTCAGAAAAAGCATTATTTGCTTCATGCTGGTTTGAAACCCAATCAAAGTGGAAAAATGTAACCTGAAAATGCCCAAAGAATATCATTTCAAGACAAGGCATTGATAAAAAAAAACCTCACCCCCGTGCATTTACTGTTGATGTTTTTCTTTGGTTTGTACATTTGCCTTTATGATGATATTTTTGTTTTTGTTTTGTTTTGTTTTTTTATTGTGCCCCATTGTTAACAGAAGAGGATCTTCCCATCAATGCAATTAATACAAATCAAGGGAGAAGGCAGAGACATGGAGACAGAGAGAGGAATTTCTGTCAGATTGGAATCATTAGTAGGGTTGATGGGAATGGCGGAGCAGTGGCTCTGTGGCTAATGATCTGCGCCTGTGGCTAGAAGGTTGCTGGTTCAAATCCCACAGCTGGCAGAGGAATCCTACTCCGTTGGGCTCCTGAGCAAGGGCCTCCTGGAGCAAGGGCTCCAGGGGCACTGTACAATGGCAGACCCTGCGCTCTGACCCCAGATCCCTGTCTGTGTGTCTCAGGGAGAGCAAGCTAGTTTATGCAAAAAGATAATTCCTAATGTAAGAAATTGTAAAGGGTTAATAAAGTGATGATTGGGATTGTTAAATGAAGTCACTGACATTGAGCCTGTTAAGGTCAAAAGATGCTTCACCCTGTGAAATTAATTACTCTATTTTACCCAGGCATGCATCACAAATTTACTTGAAATTGTTTTTTTTACCTAAGGGCACTCTGAAGACTAATGATACTGTGGTTTTCTGGGAAGATGTAGGTGTATTGTGCCTGTGGATAAAAATAATATTAAGCATTTACTTATGTCAAAATGGTGATATTCCAAAACAGAAAAATAATAGATCTTGTATAAAGCTTCACATGCTTGAGGGATCAGCTCCATCTTGCAAGACCTCTAAACATATGAGCAGATAGTTTAAACATCAGTGAAAATAAGGAAAGGGCCTGACATGCTTTTGGTCTTGAAAATTAATACTTTGCAAATTAACGACTATCAGGAATTCTTATTCATTCAGTGTTCCATTTGAATAAGGATGTGACTCTCAAAAAATCCTTTTGCCCCAGCAATTGAGCTTTGCTCAACTCGTGAGTGTCTAATTTATACCTGCTATTGGCTGGCACTGAAACCAGTCTGGAAATCCTAAACCATAAATGTAGCTGGGTAGCTGATATTCCACAGAATCAACATGCTGTTTTGTCCTTTCATCCTACTTAAAGATTTTCATTGTGGGATTAATATGGAAACCTGCTCTGGCAATATATCATCTGTCACCCGCAAAACTGCTTGCATTTCAAACAGCTTCAATGCATCTTTAGATATAAAAGGATTTTCCAATGTGCCCATCAGTGTGGGGGCATCACAAATTCTGTAGGCCTAAGGCTGGCATTTCAACTTTATCATCATCCCCATGGTAACAGCAGCAGCCAGCAGACCCTGCTTTATCCCAAAGTAAAGGGCACCACATTACTGCCTGTTATTCTTTTCAGCTGTTGCAATGCTATTGTCCAGTTGTCCAGCTTGTCGGGATATACTCTTGCTTTTTTTAGGATAGAATACCAGTCTACTAGGTATTTTTCAAAAGGGAACCTGTAGAAGATCATTTTTAAAAATAATAATGATAGCAGTAGACCATAAGGAAAAAAGCTTATAACTGTACTTTCAAAAGGAAAGCAATGTGTCTATTTGGACATTTCTTAGTTCCTGGAACAGACTTCAATGCTTATGCAATGATTGTTTTTCCATTTTAAGGGCTGCTTCTGTTTTTTACAGAAAGTTAGACATTTGTCTTTATGTAACTTTAAACGTTTTCTTGGTTCCCTAAGCCTATACAGTACATGCAGAGGTGCTGGCACATTTGGACAGACATTCCACATTTGGAGGAGAGCTGGAACTAAACACACAGTCGCAAATTTCAACAGACTGGATCTCTTTAACAGTTACTGTAAGTTACAAATTGCTTACATTTTGAAAACACGGTCAAACATATTTCTTTTTGTTTACCAGCATTTTCAATTTTAAGTCAAGGATACAGAAGCATGCTAAAATGAAACATGAGAAAAAGTACTTGGGGGACCCACGTTAAATGACACATCCCATGTTCCTCCACAGAGTTACAGAAGTCTCCCCTTTACTTACGCTCTCTGACAGACTCATAGTTCCCTTCTCCTTCATTGCTGCCATTTGGAGTTTTCCAGCTTCCTTTTTTGTTCTTCTCAACCTTTTTTGCTGGAAAAATATTGAAAACAATAATAATGTTAAAAGGGCATTTCACATACTGTATATTGATATTATTTTATAATGATAAGTATGCAAAAAGCTATCCTTTACTACTTGGATAGCTTTTGCAAGAAGATGATAGTATTTGCTGTGTATTCTGCAGAGAGCTTCTTGATTCGCTGTCCAGTGAAGTGGAGTCTTTCAGGTAGTGTGTTATCCAGGTTTTGACAAAGTAGCAAGAAACTACTGACTAGTGCAGTCAGTCAGTTGTCTAAGCTGAACAACATCAATAAAGAACAAAGCTGTGCTAAAACTTTTAGTAGAGATTATTACACTGGAAAAGAAAAGTACATTCTTGACAGTGCCTATCATTATTTTGTAATGGTTTACAATTTGTCCTGCTGCTCAAAAGTGTTCTGCGATATTAGGAGCCACTTTAAACTCCTTTTTACATTTTAGTGCACTTCATCATGCCTTCCCTTTTCAAGATAGAGCAAGGCAATTACAGTGTGAGGAAAATCACTTGCTTAAGCTCTTTGTGCCAAACTCATCCTCAGGAAAACTATGAATTTGGGGGACTGTGTTCAGTGAACTAAAAATAGAGCACACTATGAACTCTTTTTCTTCTGATTTTACTGGTGGATTCATGTAAAGGAAGAGTGTCTACTCTCCATCATCATGAGAAAAACATCCATAGAGGACTAAAGAAAGGTCAGAAGAATGGGAATTCATCCCTCTTGCCCACTTTAGAGAAAATCTATGTGTCCAGAAATAAGGCTTTTTTAACTTTTACCAGGCATCAGCATTACAGTTCTTCTTTTTTGTCAAACCCCAGATGTAAAGAAATACAGCATAAGTGCTGTGCAATAGCTTTCACAACACTAGAAATATCCTTGGCCAAAGATGGGACTTTCTATTTGTAAAAATGTAAACATCTTCCCCGTGATTTGCAGTGAGTAGATTCTGAATTCTGATTTTAATGTGAAACAGTCTTAGCAATTCAGTTTGCATATTTCACATTGATTTATTATCTTGCTCTTGGTATTATTCTTTTTCTAAAGTTCTCTATTGGTTATTGTAGTTTAAGTTGCGTATTTCCCATAAAAGATCATATTAAACCCAACCAGCTTAAGTGGTTGCTTGAAGTTAGTTGATCTGATAGTTTCATACAGCCATTTATTGAAGGAAGCCAGGATATCAGCTTCAACAACATGTTTATGTGCCTTTTTATTCCTTATCCACATCGTGTAGAAGAGTATTATGACGTGTCAACTTAAAACGTTTTCATTGATAGCTTCTTCAAGATCAGTGTATATCTCTTTATGTTTTTCCTTCTTTCTCTGCACCTCTACCAGGAGTTTTATCTGTAAACCTGAGTAGTTTTTTAACTATACCAGACTCAAGATCACATATTAAGGAACGGCAGCACCCCTGATACAGATCATTGTGATACTCACTAATGTACTATGTTTCCTACCCTTTTATCAGTCCTTAATTCAAATAGATTAATTACCTCAAATGCTTACTGCCTACTGCCTACAATACTTGACATCTGGAGCTTACTTTTAGTCCTGTTTTCATTTTCTTGGGTACAGCTGAGATCACAGATGCATTTTGTGCCGGTAAAGTGAGTGTCTTGCCTTTGTAGATCATTATGGGGGTCAATCACCAAAATGATTCAAAGGAAATGTCAAGGCAAAGCAATATTAAGTATTTAGTACAGGGTACTGGAGATTTAGCACTTCAAAATGTTCCACCTGTCTCCTATAGGGACTTCTTAGTGTGGCACATAATCGCAGATGCATAAATAATCTCACTGTTACAATTTGCATTCCAGGGATATTTCCCCTCTGACATGTTTGATATTATTGTGCTCCAGTCATACTTTCTGAGTCTCAGACATGTTCCTTCAAAACATGAATATCAGGTATGAGTATGAGTATGAGCACTAGCATCTTTTAGACTTGAAGGTTAATGTTTCCTTTTTGAAAAGTAATATACTGTACCTCATATACAGTATGTTTTGTAAACATTTCAGTTTGTTCCTGACCCATGCAATGTAGGTTGTAAATGCTGCTCCTCTTATAAAGACCACCTGGTTTCTGACAGCATTTAAACATCATCCTCCAGTTTGTAATCTATAATGGGAGCATGCCCTTGTAAAAATACCACCAACACAGGAAGCTGTCCTCTGAATTGACCCCTGTCCCTCCTAGAAGGTCTAGTTTCCACAACTGCAGCCAAATGTGATCAACTGCAGACGTCTCTCTTTTTAAGCATGTGTTTCAGATTACTCTTCTGATTACATAATCTTTATGCAGATCAAAATTTTATTCCTGACATAGTAAATAACTGTGAAGAGATAATGTTGACAAGATTATTGCTTTATTTAATTTTTATGTGGTTGTTTGCTTTATTGAACAATGGAAAAAACACATTTAAAACACAAATTCCATTTCAAAATGTAAGAAAATGCACTATACTGTACATTCAAATAAGAAGCATGCCTAATTGCTGGGGTCTTTGAAAGAGTTTTTTAATCATCCTTTAATTCTTAACAACAATATCATATCATAACACAGGTACAGTAATTAAGTTAAATTAATCTTTCTTGTAGTAGTTGCACATTGATCTATACATTGTTGAATATGTTTATAAAACCATCCTATTTTGGATGATTAAACTATTGTATTTAAAATGTAAAAACCTATCTATGGCATTTTTACAGCAGGTATTGTAAATATAATATCATTCAGCTACCAGAATATTGCAAATAATTATGACCTGGATATAAAGGCACTGATCCCCTACTGAAAAGAAAAGACTCTGGTGCTGCCCCCTAGTGCTTGATTTCCACTCAGTGCTCAAAGCTATATTTCTGTAGCTAATTAATTAACTGAAAACATAACAAGAAGAAAAGACTGTCTTTAAAATGGTCTTGGCCAGATATAAATCCAAATTCAAGCTACACAAAAGCAAACCCTATAAAGTTAGGATAACAAATTACATAGCTACACATACATGCATAAAGCATGCATTGCTATTAATAAAATGGATCTTAACTTTTTAAAATAGATTTTATACTTTGTGTATTCAGAATAGACAAACAAACCTATTATAATAATACAGGAGATAAAAATCCATATGCATTATTGTATATACTGTATTCATATATTGAAACATTTCAATACGTATAGACATAAAATCAATCCAAAATGAAAGTAAAAATTAAACTAACGTAAAGGAAAGGTACCTGATCTGGTCTCAGCAGCGGCTTTATCTGTTTGCTTCTCTTTCTCTTTTTTCCCGTTCTGTTCCTTCTTGCTGATTTTGGAAGTGCGGCGGTTCTCCCCTCCTGGCTCAGCCTCCACGGGCGTTTCAGTGTAGGGCACAGAATCATCGGGACCCGGGTCAGAGTAAAAGTGCTCCCTGTTGAGAATTTCCTGCAGGTAGTAATCCTCGTCTTCCGCCGGTATCCCATGGGTAACATCCAGGAGCAGCCCCAGCAGCCCAAACAGGGAGAGAGTGAGGAATGCAGAACAATCTCCTCTTTTCAGCAAAGAGAACATAATCACTAGGATCCTGTTACTCCAGAGGCTGTTACAGGCTGGCTAAAGTCAAGCAGCACAGTCAGCTGGGCTTGATAGGTCCCTCCTGGGTCACTGTCTGTCCCATCAGCTCCTGTACTGCTTCAGTTGTACTCCAGGACTGCAGTTTACAAACTTTCCTGAAAGCTCCAAGCAAGTGATGAATGCTCTAGAGCCAGGGGGTCCATGTGAATTCTTGCCGAGTGAAAAAAAAAAAGAAAAAACAGAGCACAAGAGAGAGACAGACATGGTTGGGGAGGGGGGAGAGGGATTTTCTGATTTCGATGTTGGCAGGTGGTTCAGGCACTAAAGGTCTCTCAAAGAGGTTTACAGGGATTTTTTTTTTTTATTTGGCAAGAACCAGAGGCTGGACACAATTGCTATAAACATAAGGTAATCAAAACCACATCTCACAGCACATACACTGCTACTTTGTTTTAAGAAAAAGAAGGGACAGTTTGGCAAGAAAGGCTTCCAACTACACCCCCCTGCTCCAAGCCTCAGGTCCATAACAGTTGAAATAAGAGGAAAAGTCTTATTTTATTGCAGGGGAAATATTTCAAACTTATAAACCATTCAAAGTTTTACTGTAGTTTTTTTTAAATTTAATTTAGATTCACCTGTTATTCATTCCAGTATCTTGTTAAAGTTTTTTTACTTAGTTAACAGACTGGTTTTGTGATAGCAGAGTTGGTCATAAAGCTGACCTACAGTACCATAATAATATTAATATACAAAAAGCTTTATTAACTTCATACTGACATGGGCGACAAAGCCTATGATTCTGAAAAGCTACTGCTACCCAGCAAAATACTCAACAAAGCAAGGATAAATTGTTTGCTACTACATACAGTACATACTTTGTAAAAGCTACTTAGAAAATCTGTTTTAATCTTCCTGACATGGCATTTGCTTGCTAGAACATTCCAAAGCACTGTCTTGAGCAGCAACGGTAAGTTTCTTCATTAGCAAGCTGCTGCAGTTGTGCGAAACTTTCCTTTGTGGCATCCAGGCAGCTTGGAGGAATCAGACATGTTTGAACAGAGAGGATGAGGGCTGCCCCTGCTGCACTCTGTCAGGACCCATCACAATCACATGGGACTGCTGCTCCCAGCAACGAAACAGCCTCTGCCAACAGCGCACAACGCACAGCATGGGCAACTGATGATTTCACCAGAGATGACATCAGAGATTTCAAAGAGAAAACTGGCATCTTTGCTTAACCCTTGATTCTTTTTTTTTTCTTATTTTATCTATTCTGTTCTGAATTTTAAATTATTATGGGGGTCTTTCAATAAATATGGTTAGATGAACTTCCATTGTAATTTGTCTTTGGGCAAAGCTTCAGGTGTCATAACCAATAAAAAGGCCATGGTACATACATTACCTTTCTGTAAAGTCTGCTTTTTTATATATTTCACAAACAACTTCCACCACACATCCCACTACAACACCATATGCATTGAATCATAGCATAACAGAAATTTGTTCTATCCGCTCCTTAATTCAAGGCCTAATTACATGTCACCTATCAACTGAAAATAATACAGATACAATACAATACATAAGAGGCAGGGGAGGTGGAACTCACTGGGAGCAAGGTCTGGATTATAAGCCTGTGAGATCTACCATCTCCCAAATGTAACACTCTGAACACACTCAGTTCAGCCAACAACGTACAGTGGCATCACACACAAAGTTGATACCCTGATACAGCAACACAGGGAATTATTGACGAATAAACTCCCTCAACTTTAAGCACTCATTGCTTAGACAAACCAAAGCCAACTTGAAAGCAATGGTAGCCATGTTGCAGTCTTGTGGATTCATGACAAAGTACAGTATTTATGGTACAGTGCTCTACGTGGTCCAACCCACTAAGGTACAGTAACTCGTTTTTAAATTCCCTGTGACCTCTTGTTTGTGATTTGCCCGTGAATCTGAAGAACACCATTGGCATTACGAGTCAGTGGAATCACGAAACAGATCCCTATGCAGAGTTTAGAGAGAACGTATTCAAAGCCCAAGTAGATATTTCCGGGTATAGATGCAGAAGACGAAAAGCCAACAAGTACACGAATCAGGAAAAATACAAACTCAAACAAGAAATTGACCTCAAAACCCAAATACTACCCAGGGATATAAGTGCTCCGCGCACTTAAGTATTCCAAGACTGGAGGTGTGGTGGAGAACAGAGACGATGAGTGGTTAGGTGATAAGCCGGGAAGAACGCCTTCTTAAAGGGGCCGTTGTTGAATTACGGGAGAACGTGACAATTGGGTTGACTTTGTTACTGCCTTTGAGGATTTTGTCTTAAACCAGATCCCATTGGATGTTTCTGGGTTCATGAGTAAAAGATTCAGTTCTGTTTTTCTGTGCAGTACATTCCTTTAAGCCAGGGAAAGCTCTTCTCTTAACAGATCCAAGAGCAGTGATGTATCTTTTATTGTATCATGACGCCAAAATTCACCTGCGCACTGTACAACTTTAAAACCCTTTAACTTAAATTCTGCGCTTTTAACTATAATCTTAACATTATGTTTTTCTATCGCATACCCATGTTGAATTTTGTGTTTTTATTTTGTTTGCTGCTTCAATAATGTTTGCTAAACTTCGTTTTTGTATGGAAATAGACTAGTAGACTTACTGTGCCACAATCAAATCATTTATATAATTCAGGGGGAGAAGAGTGGTCCTAATTGAGACCCTACAGTGTGTAGCACCGAATTCAGTGGCCAATGTGAGTACCTTCTGTTACTCAACCAATCACAGCACTACAATTTGAACATTTGCCCTCTATCTGCCCTCTGTCTTCTATCCATTAGCCAGTTCTCTATCTAAATACCATACATACATTACATTGGAAGCATTAATTCAATTTAAGAATCAATCTTTAAGAGAGACTTTACACAAATATTTTAAGTTCTTAAAAATCTAAGTATATCCTATGCTTACATGCATATGTTTATATTCATTACTGCTGTTCATCGTTCAATGAACTCAAACAAGCTATTTAAGCAAAAGACCTCTCTTTTCTACTGTAATTTTTGTAACAATCCATGTTGACTAACCCTAAGAATTCAATTACTTTCCAGATAGTATAGTCCTCTCAATACAGTCCAGTTCCATAACCTTATACAGTATGTAAGAGAAACAAGACATTTGTTTATAATTACACAGTTAAATTGTATCACCCATTTTTATTAAATTATTAAATGTATTTCAGTAATTTTCCAGTGAATGTGTCTTTAGCGACTGTTGAAAGAGTATAAATGGCCGCTGCTCCTTTGCTTTAGTACAGTAGGTAGAAATACTTTAGGCACTAGATGCTTGTTTATGCTAAGTGCTTCTTTAACTTTCAACTTTTCAACTTTCCCCATTGCTATCATTTCACTTCGTCCTTTGCTATCTTTCCCTTTTGTGATTTGAAACCATGTATTAAACCTTACTTCTAAAAGCACTCCAGTATGCAGATGCATTGTAATTAAGGGAACATAACTAAATGTTAACTGCAAACTAATATTACTGTAGGTTCTCACTAAATGAATGTGCCATTATGTGTGAATTACACACATTTTAGGCATGACTACAAATAGTAGTTTGAAACAAAATCATATAGTTTTCTCTTCTGAATTTTTCTTTATAATCTAAGGGGAAAATATTCAAGTCTTGAAGTTATTTCAAAGACACAAAATTACCCATTTCTATTTTCCTATAGCTCAAGCATCTACATTATGTTAGTGTGCCATTAAAATAGTAAATGATTATTGTATCCCTTGGCAAATTCAAAGGAACATTCCAGAATATCCTCCCCACCAAGAGTTCTGGAACTCTTATTCTGAGGTAAAGGCTGGGACAGCCAAGGATTCATCAGGGGCGAGGAAAGAATCCACTACATAGCCATGCATGAATAGCATGAGCTTCTGAAATTCAACCAGCATACAGTATAATAAGAAAAGAAGACTCATGGGTAAAACTTACTAACAGCTACAGTATATGGTGGTCGCCCACAGATTCAAAAACTGCAGAGCAGGTTTTGAAATATGATTTATATTATTGCTTTAGTGCACTCTTTGTAGAGTCTTACATCTAGTCATATATATATATACAGTATACTGTATATGATTTATGGATATACACTTTACATAAATGTCAGTTATAAATTGGTCTTACACCCACACACTCTGAGGTGTCATCTGAAGATAGTAGCATTTGAAATACAGTAAGCAGCATTGGACTCGGTGGCCGGTGTGGGAGGACTGTTCTAGGTAGGAGGACAGCTGCTGCTCACTGGAGCAATGCCATGAGCCGTGAAAGCCCAGGGATTCATTACATTAGTACTGTGATTTAAAATGTTACAGAGCTCATGTGTTCATTTTTTTCCATGTAAGTTTGCAAGCCTTCCAAGAAAAGAAAACTGAATTGTATACATGACTTTTCCAAGAAAATGGATAAATTGGGAGAGTTGTTTTTAAAAAGTAATCCTTTGAAGTTACAAGTTACTTGTGTAATCACTTCTTAAACTTAATTAGACAGTTACACATTACTTTTAAGAAGTAATGTATTCCTTTAACTTTGCACCTTATTCAGAACACTATACCTGTAACTGATCACTTTTGAAAAAGATGTCCTCTCAACTTCTTTATATACATCTGCTGATCCTCACCTTAGGTACGTTGGCTATTGCTGTTGGCCAGAAATGTATGTGGTTCATCAGGCATTTTGACCCTTATCCACCCTCCAGCTGTCAGGTTAGCAGTGATGGCCAGTAACAGCTCGTCTGCTCCAGGCCTCCAGCTTAACTCCTCCCTCCTGTTCCAGAGCCAACATAAGGCTCTCTCCACTGTCTCTCCCAGCCTTTGTTCTGCTGTCTTTCCGTCCCTCTCAGTCTGCCCCAGAGATGTCAGCATTTTCCACACTGGCTGTACGAAGAGACCCTGCAACCAACCACCACTGGGAACAATTTAGATACCCACCCTTTTCCTTTAAAAGCTTGCACCATGTCTTCATATTTGGCACTTTTCCACTCAAAGGCCTCCTTGCATCCTTCCTTCCATGTCTCTGTTAGCTCAATGATGACAGTCTTTCTCGCTTCTGGGCACCACATCACCACATCTGGCCTTAGGGATATTTAAACAACTTTAGAAAACTGCAGCCTTCCTCCATGGTCCACCAAAGTGGAGTTGTATGCAGGAAAGAATCCTTTGGTATTAGTTGACATAGTCAGCTTCTCTCCCTATCTGAATGCCACTTTATTTTTAAATCCTCAATGAGGTTGTTATGTCTTCTCTCACAGTACAATGGAAGGTTAATACACTTACTACACCAGCAACTCACAACTGGCAACCCACTGAAGCTAAGCAGGTGTGAGCCTG